AGAGACCTTCGGTTACTGTGAGACAGCAGAGAAGTAAAAAGATAAAGAAGTAAAAAGGCTTAGAGTCTCATTATTCTGAGTTTTGACCTTCATTTGCCTATAAGCAGGGGACGCTTTGTAGCATTAGTTACCAGTGTCGCTAACAGCTCGGTGCCATGGGCTGGCTGGGCAGTGTCCCCCTGGTCGGATGATTTTAGCACCTGTCCTCGCTCTGGTGGCTGCATCTGGTGGAGCGGGTAGGAAAACCTCTTTCAAATGAGGAAACGCTGCTGCTTTTTACAGCAGGGTGGTCAAGGTTATCCCTCTTCGCTAGCACATCTACCACCTCATGGGCCAGAAGAGCCAGGAATCAACACATGCAAAAATCTACTTGAATTTAAACAAAATCCCTGAACACCTAAAATGCAAACTTATTTCCCTTCCTACGGCAACAGTTGCTAGTGAGGAAAAGCCATTTCCTTCCTTCTTCCTGCCCTTAAGCCTGATCTCCAACAGCTGTAGATTCTCAACAGGATTCTCAAACAGCTGCAGGTTCCTGTTCTCATTCATCTCCCTAAAACAGGGCAAAGCAAAAGATATTCTAGTTTACAGTTAGTTGGCTGAGGTTTTCTTAACACAAGAATCCTAGGCTTCACTGAAATATAATTTTGAAGAACACTCTGGATAATCTCAGGTGCAAGACAGCCTGATGAAGGCCTGAAATAATTCTACTGCAAGGCACAAATTAGAGAACTACCAGTATCCTGTGTACATATTGATTTAATGAAAAGTTACTGCTCACATGCAGAATGCTACTTCACATATTTCCTGTCTCTCACTCACGCTTATGTCACCCACCACCACAGCCCCCCCTCCCAGAGTGCCTGCTCTTCACTTCCCCTCTAGAAGGAACAGAAGCTGGGGAGTGAAAGGAACTGCTGACAGCTTTATCTGAGAACAGACCAAGGCTTAGTCCTACAATACTATGGCCTTTTGGGTTAATGGCCTTTTTGCAGGTCAGTTCTCTTCTCCCACAAGCTTGTGCTTGTGAGACCAACGCTTAGGTCACAGCCTGAGGAAGAAGGTAAGTCAGTGTCAAACTGGGCAGCCTGAAAACAAGGTACTTCACTTCTGGAAGTCTTGACTTTGCATTCCTACCTTCATTCTCTTTTGACGTGCCTGGAGTTGCTCATGCTCAGACACTATGTTGTCTCTCCTATCATAGCATTTTGGACAAAACCAAAAACCACTTCCGGTTTGCAAACTAGGCCTCATGCTACTGCTCCAAAACAGCAATTTTTTTTTAAGTTGTTACAAAGCAGCAGTATTTTATTCAAGTCATGTTTTACAGACAGCTTGAGCAAAGAGACCTTGTTCTAGCAATATTTCTGCTAGAATAGTCTTCCTTCAAAACAATGCTTTTAAAGAAATGGCAACTTAATTTGGAGGCAGCAGAGTTACAGCAGGAGTCAGAACCATGGAAAATGTTACAGTGTTGTCACCAATTAAGAAATACAATTAACAGTGAGTACATCATGTCTGTTTCTTAGTCTCTTCCTTTTTAAATATTGATGGTCTTAGCCAGTATCTCAGCTGGTTTAAACTGGCATAACTTCACTGAAATTAATGTGCTATAGCAAAGCTCTAATACTTGAGAGGCTGACAATGCTGATAGAAAAGCTTTATGTAACGTTTGAAGTAGCTTTGATTTTATTTTTTTTTTTAGGAAGTCCTTCACATTTCCCTCCACCCTACCCTACCCTCAGTGTTCATCTGTTTTTCACTGTTGCATTCTGTTTCAGACATTCACAGGTAATTTTGTCTACTATATTCAATCTGTGCTCCCAGATGACATTCTAAAAGCAGTACTGGAGAAGATAGGTTACGTTGCAACAACAGCAACAGAGTTTTCACTTGTCAAAAAGAGAAACAATGAGGAAACAAAGCAGACTGCATTTGAAATATTCCTGGCAAGAATTGAGTGTGAAACCATCCTTGAAATGACAAATGAAGAGAAATATGGCAATTTGGAGAAGCCCCTACAGAAGAGAACACAAATGCACTGGCATCACAGAGATAAGGACAAAGAGGATCAGACGCCCCAGAGAGAAGATGCTGAAAATCTAGAAAATAAAGGAAACAGTGAGACATCTTTGTGCCTTGCTACTCAGCAGAAGTCTTCAACTAATAGCGATATATTCTTTGAAGCTGCTGGGAATCCAGAGATCAAAGATGTCATGCCTCAGTTAGCAGTTACTCAATCCACTAACAGGCTTCAGGAGCACCAAAGGCAAGTCATTAACACCGTACGATTTCCGGGCAAATGCTCAGACAGCGAGGACTTCTTGATCAAATACAGTGACATTGTCATAAGACAAACACCTATTTTCAGTGAGAATCTTTCTCCAAAAGCTTTTGAAAAAAAGCCAAGAGTCAGTCTAAGTGAAGAATGTGTTTTGGCAGTCACTGCGGAGTCAACTGCAAATGAGATCAGGCCTGTGCCACTCTCACCGGGAGCAAGCGGTCCGCCAGCCTTTGCAATATTTGCTGACAGCTCTCGTGACAGCAGAAGCACTTTGGAGTACAAAGCTCAAGAAGTCCCTGAAGAATCAATTGAAGCAGAAATTAACGATGCCATAAACTGCATAGACTCAGACCCTGCCGATGAGCCCAATGAGCTGAAGTCTCTACCGTACCAGGACATTGCACCTGTCCAAAGCTCCAGTGTCCCTAGGGAAGAGGAAGTTTGTGAGCTGTCTTTAACCTTCACAAAACTACAAATTAAGGACGCTCAGGAAGACCTTATGTATCCAGTAGAGGAAACTGGCCAGCATGACTCAGTATCATACGCCCATATGAGTGACCGGCATGTAAGAGAATTTAATCACTCTAAAATAAAACACACATATCTGACTAATGCTGCACATATTGAGCCATCTTCAGATCTTTGCTGTACTACAGGGAATGTGGAGGATCCCACCACTGGTTCTGACAGTGAGAGACTATTAATGGATGCTCCTTCTGCACATACAGCTGCTGAGTGCTTCCGACACATTAGAGAGCCTCCTAACCTCACCTATATTCCACCACAAAGTATTGATGTTCACTCTTCACACACAAGTACCAGCACACAGGGCAGAAAGAACCGCTTGCAACCTGAACGTGACTCTCCCAAATCCAGTGCAGTAAAGCTGGAGAACTATAATTCAAAAGTAAATGAAATCCAGGAGCCTTATGTTATTATTGACAAAACTGACCGAGGAATGTTATGTCGTCACACTTGATTCTACCAGTGCTTTATCTGTAATCTGACCAGGTTTCCCTCCCCGCCACTTGTGGCCTTGATCACCTTTTCAAGGAGATGATTAGCTGTCTCAAAATTTTTGGGAAAAAAAAAACATCCATACCACCACCCCTTTTGGACAATTAAAAAGGGACACAGTTGGGCAAATTCTTCATGTCCCCTTTGTCATCTGAAACTGTTGGCACTGAAACCTGATCCCCTTTCTAAAGCGTAAGCAACTTGCATAAATTTAAATTCATTTAATTCCTTAGCCAGATTCCTTCTGAGGAATGAGTTGTACTGTAATGCAGTGTACTTGCATTAACTCATTACATTCCTGTGAAGTTGTGCTCTGAGCTAATCTTGCTTTTATTTTCAGTTGAAAATAGGTTTAGAAATTTTGATAACATCCCCCAAAAATTCAAAGACGAGCACATGGATTACAGTAGAAAAAAAACCTCAGGAGCTAAAACGTAAATATATGCTTTCCAAACAACCAGTTGTTGAAGTCTTGTCATCACCCAGTTCCAGCAGTCTAAGAGGAATAAACCTTTGATCAAGCTAACATCAAATCACAGGACTGCCTTCAGCTCTGGGTGGGGTTGAGAGAAATAGCTATTATGAACATGCATACACAGATTAACTTCCATACTGGGTCTGGCTAGGCTTAAGAAAACTTTCTGAATAGCAGCCCCTGTGGTGGTGTGTTTGGGGTGTGTAGCTAAAGCCAGTGTTTTGGCTATTGCCGAGCAGTGCTTGCACAGTGGCACAGCTTTCTCTTTTCCCAACTATACCCCTCAACCCTGCAGTGAGTAACTGGGCGAGAGGACACAGCTGGGACAGGTGACCTGAGGTGGCCAAAGCGATGTACCGTACTGTGCCACACAGCACAGCAGTGTGCCTCTTAGTAAAATGGAGGTAGCAGAATGTGGTGGGTTTTTGTCCACCAAGGTAGCCATTGCTCAAGGCAGCTGCACATCAGTCTGATTGTGGGAAGTGGTGAGTTACTGCAATTGCATCACTTGTTTTTTCCCCCCTTCTTCACTTACTCAACAGCTATCTCAACCCAAAAGCCCTCTTGATTTTGCATTTCATATTCTCCCCTGTCCTGCTGGGGAAGAGGGGAGCAAGCAGCCGTTTAAGTGCTTAGCTGCTGGCTGGGTCAACCCACCAAAACGTCCTTGCTCTTTTGAAGTACCCCCCTGTTCTTCCTAACCATTTTGGGGTTTATAAGCTGTATTTCCCCCCGTGGGGGTTATTAAAATTACATGTTTTAAATCTCGTACTGTGTCAATTATTCAGGAACTCTAAAGCTGCAAAAAACCCTTCTCTTCACAAATGAAGATGTCTCTTAAGCATTTAGATGACCACCGGTAGCACTACAGGATTCATATACCTCCCATCCCATTTTTATCTTTACTGTAGCCATAAAGGGAGGTATTTAACAGCAATTTACACATCAAAAACCAACCCAAGGGAAACTAAAGACTACCACCTGAAAATACGCTGTCTTGGACATCTAACTCCATTAATGCCCTACTGCTAGCCTTCATTAAACTTTAGCTTTGGTTCTGAGACTAACCTTTTTATTTTAAAGAAAAAAAACCCCAAACCTCGCAACTTTGTCAGCCCCCTCAAATCTTGGGGAAAAAAAAACCACAAAACAATCCACCGCCATAATTCTCACCTGACTTTATCTCACTTTAAAAATGCACAATGTTTACTTAAACCTCCATCCACTACAGGAAGGACTAGATTCTTGAAATCAGGAACCAGGACAGTACCTTGCTGAGGGAGCCATTATTCAGGAGAGGGACAAAAGAGCCCAGGTCTGAATCTTTCAATAGCAGCAGATGGCAAAATAGCCAGCGCTTCCTGCGGTTCCTGGAGGAAGTGCACTGAAGAGAGATGCTGGATTATTTCCTGGTGTTGGTAGTTTTGTGTGCAAATTACACCAGTGAAAAGAAATTCAACTATAAAATGTTTTAATTTTTGTCAGTCTATCTTACCTCAAATCAATTTATATACTATTTCCAGACATTAATGATTTGTAACACACCTTGACCAGGACAGAGAAAATACCACAGTCTGGAGAAGATGTCATCTATTCACACTAAGTATGTAACAAAGAAAAGGCAATGCAGGAGGAGATAATTCCTTCTCACACATATTGCAGTTTAAATGTGGAGCTCATTGTGAAAAAAGTAATGAAAACACACATCTTCCAGGCATCTATTCCTACAACGTACTCTAGAGTAGCCAGAATGTATGCAAAACCAGTTATCTGTGGTCCAGCCAACAAGTATAAGCTGCATCCAACTTAGAGATCAAATTTTAAAAGCCAAGACAAGCGGCAGCTTGTTTATATTATCAATTCCACTGTACTCAAGTTCAGTCTGCTGACAGAAACGAGCACTTTCTATGGTATTTTGCAACTCGCTACCCAATCACTGCTTCTTAGACAGTCAAAATAGGTACCAGACTAATGCTGCTAGCCCTTTTTCCCCTCCCTCATCAACTGAGAGATTTCAAGAAACAAAAGCAAGTAAATTCCAGCTATTCAGTTACTGCAGTATTTTTATCTACACATCTATAGCAAACCGCAAACATTTTGCATTTATGACACATTACAAGCAACCTCTTCAGTTTTGTTCCCAGTTTTCATTAATTACACTGACCTCCCTGTAGATGAAAATCTGTACATTAACAGCAAAAAAAGTGCTCCCTGTAACTTTTTATAAATAAGTTATATAAATTATTCCTTCATATTCCATTATAATTATCAATATCAATAACCTCCATCCAAACTACTGTTTTGATATAATAAAGGGAGGGAGGAAGCATCTGACTCAAAAGGATACATTTCTTTCAAATTCCAAAAGATAAAAACATTGTTCTACAAGATTCTTTGTACAACACAATTAAGCAGCATTTTCTGGACTGTATGCAAAATACACATCCTTGGGTTCTACAACCCATAATAAAATCAGAATTAAGAACAAATCATAGATGACTGAACTTGAAATTTATAGAATTATTTCCCAATAAATAGTTATTTTGGTCTCTTACAGAAGAAAAAAGTTTGAAAGGTTAACAGAAGGTTTCAAGAATGACTACTATCTCTCTACAAATAAGCTTCAATGAGATAATTACTTATTACACAAAATCTTACTTTTAAGCTAGAATTCTAAAGATTTACAACAGAACAATAGAATGGCAATACTAAGTTCACAAGCTTTAGTATACCAATTTAGTACTTCACTAGAAAATGCTCTCTCAGTGCACTGATCAGTAAGTTGTACAGATCTGGAAAATAAATATCCCACCAGATGGAAATAACAAGAAATAAACTGCCTTTCCTGAGTTGGAGAATGGTGCAGTCATTTCAATACAATCATTTTTAGGCATACCACAAAACCACAAAACAGAAGCAGTGAAATGATCTCCAAATGTCTTATCATCAGATATTGTTCAAAATCAGGTAGAACATGGAAAAGCCAAGTAACTGAAAATTTATATCCTCCAACAAGTTAACAGTCAACGTCTGTAATAAGTGATGAAAGTGCTAACTAAAGTCTGGGACACTGGCCATTTTTAGGAGCATTCACTACAAAGCTACAACAGATCTCAACTAATATTAATACAAGTGTGCTTTAATGTGCTGTTAACCTCATTTGCTCCAATGAAACCAACCTAAACTAGTACGGAGGAAAAAAATATATATACACTCTACTTCAGGAATCATTCCCCTCAAACAGGAAAAGTAATGTGCAAATAGTCAGAACTGCTGCATTAAAAGGATTGTCTTGAAGACAACACTCAGAGGGTAAAGCAGAAGTTAAGAACAACTCAACCGTTTAGCTAACAAATGCAAGAATTAAGTGCCCACTGTTTTTCTCTACTCTTGAAGTACCTGTAAGCCACATAAACTAAGATAGAAACTCAAAGAACGATCTGGGGTTTGTTTAATTATAAAAGTACAACTGAAGAATCAAAAATAGTTAATAAATCAATGAATTTCAGGGTTTTTTATAACCATTTGAAAAGAACAACAGATATAGTTCTGTGCACCCTATATTTTCACCAGTCCTCAACCCAGCCATAGCAAGGCCAACGAACACTAGAAAAAAAATAAGCCCTTTGAAAAGCCTGACTTAAAAAAAGCCTCAGAGCCATTCAGGAATCACTTATGAAAACTATTACTCTTTTTTGCCACTGAATTCAGTGGGACTATACCAATGGAACTACAGCTACATTGTGATTTCACGCAAAGCACAAGAAACTTACTGAATTGAATTAAACTGCACCAGTTTAGGCAGGATTAGAGTAAAACCCCTACTTCAACCTGGTAAGATCTATTTAACAAAGCTACTTTAATTTGATGCACTTCATTTCCTTCCTGTAGTAATACAAAAGGACATCCCACCTCTTACATAGAGCTGTTTCTTTCAAACTACAAAAATGGGGTTGTCTTTGGGAAAAAAAGAAGAAACTTAGTTTACTTATGGGAAGCAGCAGTGAAGTGGGAAATGGAGAAATTATTTTAGCTGAATAGAATTGCCACACTAAAGCTGATGGAGAACCTAAAACCGTGACAGGGAATTGGCTTATATTCTAAGACTTGTATCTGAACATTTCATAGCAGTAATTCCACAACATTCTACAAAGCATAATTCAAAAGCAAAAACCGTCATATTTAGAAGTATTAAAAATATTTAGAATTGCCCCAAATCAGACTTCATACACATCTTTTTTTTAAATACAATAATCACAGACTTCTATAAACCATGTTGCATATTATATGGGTTTAGTATTTGGTCCCGGTTTTCTTCATACTTTTCTATCATTTTCTGCATGTCGTGGTCAGCTCCAATAACCTTGAAAAGAAGAAAATTAACATTAGAAATAATTGACACCATGAAACGTGGTTGTTTTTTAGCAAAACAGAACAGCGTTACCACTGAAGTTGAACTGATACACTCCTAGAGATCTATCCAATTA